GCGGCCTGTCAGATTGAAGCGAGTGTACATAACTCTCGTGCTAGCTGGCGAAATAGCATGTGTTGCCAGCTGAGGGGGCTGCTCGGGTGGAGGAGGTCATGGAGAAAATTCGTGGATGAGGAAGCGGGAGGATGGAGATAAGTGGACGGAGGAGGAAGGGTCAATCTACCTCGCCTCCTCGTGCCAGACTCACTTAAGACAGCCCGCGTGTGCGTGCTGAGATACCCGCCTCGGTTTAGAGGCTCAGAGCCCTGCCTGTCTTGCAGTTGTTGGTTTGTGTTGTGGAGCGTTCACGTAGCAGTGAATCAAATGATACAGCAGAGTCGTTCCCTGCCTGCCTCCTTCTTCCTCCATCAGACCCGTCACCGTCTCGTTCAGTGCGCGTTCCTCATCTCGCCCGCCTCCATCCCATTCCCGCCCTTTCCTTATTCAATATTCAATCCAACGCCCTCCTCGCTCACTCCCCCCCCCATCCAACGCCCGCCTCGCTCACTCTCCTCCCCCTCCTCGCTCACTTTCCTTCCCCTCCCCCCTCGCTCACTCTCCTCCCCCTCCTCCCCATCCTCCCCCTCCCCTCCTCGGCGAGCGAACGTTTCCATTCGAGTTCGGGTTGCCACAGCCCCCATCAGACTCGACAGATTATTGCTCGTGACAGGCCTAGCGAATTCACACTAATAACGTGCACGATTGGTTATGGATCCGAGGAGTCGACAGGTCCTCGAACGTTGCGACTCTCGGACAGGTCCTCGACAAGTCCTCGAAAATTGCGAACCGACAGGTCACCGAACGTTGCGAAACTCGGACATCGACCCCCCTGGCGTCAATTCTCCTCTCACTGACCCCCCGCCCGTGCTCGCTCCAGGCGACGCCGAAGGACCCGAACGCGCCGAACCTGGTGACGGTGCAGGCCGGCGTGTGCCCTCTTGGTTTGCCCCATGCCTCTGTTGCCTATGGAAGAGTGGCCAGGAAAAATTCGGGATGAGTAGGAGGAGGTGGAGAGCGTAGTAGTACCCCCTCGCCCTTTACCCCTTATCCCCTCCTCATCCTCATTATCATCGTCCAACTCCTCCTGATGGGGTGCGGCATTAGCTCCAATCGTATCGGGGCGAGTGTGTCTTCGACTCTCTGTCGGGTAGATGGATGATGCGGAGTTGGTCGCAGGAGGGCCCAGAGAGTTCGCTTTGGGACCAGGCGGGAGCGAAGAGTTAGTAAGAGAGGTGCAATGACGATGTTGGCGAATATGACGACGACGATGAAGAAACCATGACCACGATGACAATGACGATAATGGTATGATATGGCGACGATGATAATGAAGATGATGACTACGATGATGATTGTGGAGATCGTACGTGGCACCCCGCAATTGCGAATAAGAGTGGGTCGTGGAGGGGGGTCGCTGGTGGGTCGCGGGTGGGTCGCAGGTGGGTCGCGGGGTGGGTCGCGGGTGGGTCGCGGGTGGGTCGCGGGTGGGCCGCGGGCGGGGCGCGGGTGGGACGACGACAACAAACGCAACAACACCAACGACAACAACAACAACAACAACAACAACAACAACAACAGCAGCAACTACACCAACAACAAAAAACAACTGCAACCCGACCAACAACAACAATAACATCATCAACAACAACAAGAACAACAACAACAGCAGCAACAACAACAACACAATCAATAACGACAATAACAACCATAACATCATTAGCAACATCAACAACAACACCAGCAACAGCACCAACAGCACCAGCAACAACAGCAGCAGCAACAACAGCAGCAACAACAACAAGAATAATACCACCACCACCAACAACAACAACACCAACACCAACAACAAGGACAACAACAATCCGCACCGCGGACCCCTACGTCAGTCACGCACCCAGGGACAATGAATAACCGTTCGGCACACTCACTCTGAGAGATGTATATACATATGGACGCTGGTAGCATGCCCGCAGGGCATGAACTTCGAAGGCATTCTCATGAAGGCGTTCATGGACTCGGACGTCGGCAAGGACCTGGTGACCGATGACACCGAGGCCGCCGACGATGAGGAGCGGGCGGCAATCGAACGCAAGCTGGAGGAAGACTACGACTACTTCCTTGAGGAGGCCGCGACCATGGGGTTCAACATAGGGTCCCACTCGGCGGTCGGCAGGCGCTACGCCTTGTGGCGTGCCAGCTGCGAGAAGGAGAACGCGTACTACGAGTCACTGAGCGCCCGCGAGAGGAAGCAGCGGGTCAACGATTGGGCGAAGGAGAAGTACGACGCGTACATGGAGTTTCCCTTGGAAATTGCGTCCACCTTTCTCACCCCAATGTTTCATATCCTTCGGCCATCCGTCGTCGTCGTCGTCGTCGTCGTCGTCGTCGTCGTCGTCGTCGACCCTCGGCAGGTCCGCGTCGAGGTTGGAACCTCGAGCCCCGAGGATCGAGGTTCGGGGCTCTCTGGCCGCTCGGGGGGTCAACCTCGACGCGGACATGCCGAGGGTCGACGACGACGACGACGACGTCGACGACGACGACGACGACGATCCATCCGCAGGAGACCCGCGCCAAGATGCAGGATCGGATCAAGAGAGATATCACGACGGGCCGGTGGTACACCTTCGAGGGCCTGATCACGCAGGAGATGGGCGGAGGAGGCGGCCCGCCCACGCCAGCGGCCGTGCAGGGGGCCGTCAACAGGGCCATGTGCCTCATCAAGAAAGGTTCCAAGCACGTTCGCGTGAACCAGGAGAGCAAACGCATCGAATTCCGTCGTGTGTTCGATGAGGATACTGTGGAGAACGTCAAGACCACGCGCTGGACCAGGACGGAGTCGACAGACTCGACCAGGTTGGCGCCCCTGCCGTCCGTCCAGCCCGCCGAGCCAGATCGGGTCACGCCCGAGCCGAAGGCCGCCTCCCTCGCCATGGACACGCCGCCCAAGGACACGCC